CCTAGATAGTTTAAAAAGGGTCACCGCCGAGCTAAAAAATGTGGTTAGTTTTGAGCTGGTTCTAAGAAGTATAGTATAGAGCCGTTTCTTTGAATAAGCACGCATACAATTTTGTAAATAAAAAATACTTCATTTTATGATTAATGAGCTATTTATTTTGCACTAATTACTTTTTGAGGCTAATTGTGCTTTAAAATTAGGAACATAAAGTATCAGTTTCAGTTTTCATTTTCTAAAGCCGTTATTGACGGTATTCTCCTATCTAAATATTTTCGTTTAAGGTGAATGATTACACTTTACTAAACTAAAATTTGATGGCTTACAAAACAGAATACTCGAAATATTTATAAAAAAATCTCTGATTAAAAAGTTTGAAATTTGAAGACAGTTTTTAGAGTTCTATCTAGTTTGCCTCACAGTTAGGAATTTGAGTTCAAATGGTTTATGGAAAATGGGACATAGTACTTAAATAAAAACTTAACGAAAAATTTTCAAAACGAAAAACATTGGAAATCAAAAAAAAAATCACTGCATAACTACACATTTCGGGTGCTCAGTGATATTTAGGTTTAGCACCCTCGTTTCAAAGTGAGATTGTTTACCACTTTCGGTTATTTTTTTTAAATCTGATTAAAACGTAAAAAATGTATATGAAAAACCGTGAAATTTTACTCTGTTTTGTATAAAGTTTCAAAACACGGTTTATATGATTTTGTTTTAAGCATTATCATTTTTTTTATAAAATATTACCAAGCAAATTTTAACTCTCAATATATTGTGAATAGTTAAAAAAAGAAATGTTGTTTGCAGGCTTTTGCTGTTAACTGTAGCTTAACTAAATTCTATGGTTATATTTTGTATTCAATTTTATACGTACGTATACTTATATGTATAAAAATGGCATTAATGTTACCAATAACGACTTTTTTGGAAATATTTTAGCAGTTGCCCCATAAACTACGCAGAGAATTACATATTAAATAAACGAAAACAGTTTTTTATTAGTTTTAGGGTCTAAGAAAACCGAAAAAATAGAGTATCAATTGCTCACATGTAATCGGTAAGGTAAACGAATAGACGTCTCGGAGCTACTTCTATTTAAATAATGCGCTATTTCATTGAAACAACAGGAAGCAAAGTTTTTGCTGGGATGTGTCCTTTCTGTATTGCAGCCGCCATTGAACGATTTGTATACCTCTGGTATGGATGTATCTATATATGTACACATGTACATATATGTATCTGTATACATGCATGTGGTGTGTTTGTTTGCAACTTCTGAACATCTGCTCGTTGATTTGCCTCGTAGTTCTTGTGGCATTTTATTTATTTTCCTTTTGCCGTTTCGGCTTTCCTGTATTACTTGCTTTGTTGTCAACTTGGTTTTTTGTTTTTGTAATAATTTTTTGTTTTGTTTTTGTTATTATCATTACAGAGTGGTTCATCATTTAAATGCATACATACATACATATATACTTATCTGCATAAATACATAAGGTAAGTGCATCCAAGCACTATATACATATATATTTGGCAGTTTCATAAAGGTATCGCATTTATTTGTGTTCTATATATAGTATGTATGTACAAATGTATATTGTATCTTTGCCGCAATAGTGTCATAATAATTTTTTTTTTTATGTTTAGTGTTGGGCAATATCGATACCCAAAGTACTCAGAACTCGATTCTCAAAAGGTTCGATAGATACCTAAGAGTACTGAGTTTTATTTACATTTACCGGTATTCAAAGTACTCAGTATTAAGTGTCGAATAGATAAAGTACTGAGTTTTATTTATATTTACCTGTATTCAGAAATGATTGCACTCAATTTGAAGTTTCAATAGTTTTCAAGTTGGTACTATACTTGCTTGATTCAACAATTAAAGGTTTGCTCACTAGTGACATTAGACTTTTGACACAACCTTACAAAAGGTTGCACACACACACGCACCCACACAGAAAATTTTGCCAACAGCAATTTGCCAACAGGAAAACAGCTGATCAAAAACAGCTGGTAGGAATTTACGCAAAGCACAAAATGGAATTTGGTGGTTTGGAAGTTAAAAATGATAAAATGTGACTAATTAAACTTGTACGAAGTAAGTAGTTATTCGTTTAATCAATAAACTGTGCACGTTTTAAATTTTACGCTTTTGTTGAGTGTATACAAAAATTAGACCAGCTCTTCGTCTAACTTACAAGTTTCTGAAAATTTTCTTTTCGCGTAGTATTCTGGATATTATTCTCTTATGAGAGAACAGCTGACACTTTGCCGGAATTTTTCCGTTGGATATTTTTTACCAGAGACCGTAAATAGCAGTTATTTTTTTTCTTAACATTTAAACTTGGCCAGATATTTTTTAAGTCCGAAATAAAAGTCTTTCCGGATAGTAAACCAACCGCTTATGCAAATTAAAAAAATTTGGTACCAAATGAAGGAGGACTTAAATAGCACAGAAATAACGAGCGAAGATTACCGCTTCTATTTATATTTATTTTTAAAATTTAATACAAAAGAAATGCATATACCTGACCCAAAGTTTGTTCTATGGTAATTAAAAACCATTTTTTATTGAAATATTTTTCAATAGCTGGCTTTCCGCTGGCTTTCCTCGTTTTAACATATTAGTTTTAAAGCTATTTTAGCCCTCTTTCAGTTGATACCAAACTTGTTAAATTTGGATAAGCGGTTTGTTTATTATTAGGAAAAGACTTTTATTTTCGACTTAAAAATATCTGGCCAAGTTTAACTCTTGAAAAAAGTAACTGTTATTTATGGTCTCTGTTATTTACTGGAGTACTTGTACCCAGTAAAGTTAGCCATTCATTTGACATAATTTGAGATAATATAATATACTAATTTGAATACAGTGCTGCCAGCTTGTAAGATTTCTACTCTACTCTAAAGAAAGTACTCTGTACTCAGTACTCTGAAAAATTTCCGATCCTGTAAAGTATCGATATCAAAGAACTGGATCGTGAAAAGTATTCGATACTTCCCAACGCTATTGTTAAATATGCAGAAATGACGACTGCCTCCGCTTTTATGTTGCGTAAATACGTATTCATTGATATATCGATTAACAAAAACTCATTAGAAGAAAATGTATGTATCTTCATTTTTACCGCGGCGGCGTATGAGAACTATAATCTCATACGCTGCCGCGGTATGCAATTTTTAATCCGATCAATTTTTAACTCAATCGCTCAGAATCATTCATTTATCTTTTCTCATCATTTCATGGGAAATATGCAAACTACATATGTATGTATGTATAAAAAGAGCTGTATTAGGGAGCTTTCCGTAGGATTTGTCAAACTATGTAGGCGGTAGTAGTCACATTCTTTTTGCGGTTCCCTCTTCATGAAATAATAGATTTTGGTATCGATTTACCACAGCAAGCTTGGTAGGTTAGGCCTGGTAAGACTGGCTGGTTTTGTGAAAGCTCTACATAGACGAATTACTAGTCCATTGTGTGACCAGATTAAACGACATTTCATGATGAGTATGTGGACCATAGTACATATACTAAGAACAAATAACACATTTTAAGATACTGTGCAAACCGTTTTTTCTGCTATAGTTTTGTCTGGAACTCCCCCCTAAAGCAGTTACGCCTTAGATTTACCGCTATATGTTCCACCGATTTACTTTTCATTTGGCACTTCCTGCAGTTATCAATATGGATTAAGCCCAGTGTGAAAGCATGCCTAGCTAACATCAGACTTAAGCATGTACATGGAATTTTTGCATTCGCGTCATCACTAGATTGGTATATACACGATTGAAGAAACCTTTGGTTACAATGAATATTCAGAAAGTTGTGGCCTCTCCCCGAAAAAGTTCCCTGATTTAACTGTTGTCATGATCCGAAATAGGTGGAAGTCGGAAACATTCGCAAGCGCTTTCACTTTAACTGTGTTTTCATTCATTCTGCCAGCAGAATAGAGTAGATGCTCCAATAGTCACGTTGACATAAAACCGCGAAATACGCCATGGATTTAGTTTGAGTCTTTGCATGAGAAAAAGTAAAATCGGGACTTTATTGCTCTCACCCCCTAGGATTATTCTACACCGAAAAAATTATACCCCTGTTTTTTTATTTTGAAATAAAAAAATATTTAGAGGTCCCTCAAAGCACTCGAAGTTTTCCATGTATTTTATATGGGTAAAAAAACTAGTTTTCGTAGAAATGTTATAGAATTCTTGAAATGCAAAATTTTTCGATGGGAACACTTTGTTTCTTATACCTTTTTTTAACACCAGCGATTTTTTTATGGGCCCCTCCATTGCATTTCTTGAGGTTTTTAGGGGACCTAAAAAAATAGGTAATAATAGAAAATAGTTAGATGAACAACTGGGTATTGTTATTTGAAGTCTCCTAAAGCGAAGCAGAGTTTTCCGATCGAAAAATATTGATTCTAAAGAACTGTTTTTCCATATAAATATATACATGCACGGAAAACTTTCAGCGCTTTGAGCGACCTCTAAAAATTTTTTGATTTCAAAATAAGACAAAAAACAGGGGAATAATTTTTTCAGTTTAGAACAATCCTAGGGAATGAGGGCATTAAAATTCCGACTTAACTTTTTTTTTGCCCCACCCTAATGTTCATACATATACCATACTAACCAACAGCGTAGCAAAAGAAGTATAAAGTAACAACACGCATTTGAAAAAATATATTAGTGGTATATTTGGCGCAAAAGTCCGTTCAACCGATGTTAATTTTTTTCTAAAAATGTGTTATTATTATTTTTTTTTTTAATGTTCATATCGAGCCCTAACCGCCAAAATAACGTAAGCGAAATTTTTTTCAAAATTTTCTTTTTGATGCAGAAATATTCCTAGAGCATCTAGATGTATTTCTGCATCAAAAAAAAAAATTTAGGGCTCGATATGTACCGTTTTATACTGAATTCAAAAAGAATAAAAAATAAAGTAAGTTTTCACTACCCTATCCTAAGGTAAATAGCAATATAAAACCTTGACTTACCTTCTTCTCAGTGAGCTTCTCGCAACGTCGCTGCTTACAAATTTGGTGACTTTTGTCATTGCGACAAGGAGCGCACTCGCCGCAATTGTCCTTACGTTGACATCCGATGCATTCGCCGCACCTTTTGCGTTTTTTCTTCGACTGAAAGACAGAAGTCTAAAATTAGGCGATAAGCAACTCATGTTCTTCGCTCAATGCTATGGCGCTTTCTCAGTTCACAGCTCATTACTTACCTGTTTGTCGCTGTTGGTGTCGTTACTATCGCCCATTCCCAGCGCGCTCAGTGGACTTTTGAAGTTGGCCGTGCTCGAGACCGCATCCACTTGTCCGGGATTGCTGGGATCAACATCCATAGCACTTGCCTCAGACTCGGCGCTGGACTCGAGCGAATTCGCCCGATTTTTCCGTCGTTCCTTTTTTCTCGCATCCACCCGCGCAATAGGCGAATTCAGTACCTTCTCGACCTTGATTTGCGTGGTGGTGGAGGGAGTAGGAGTATGCGGTTGCGTCGTATGCGGAGTATGTGGTGTATGTGGCCCACTAGCGCCAGCACCAGCACCGCTGGAACTACCAGCATGGGTGGAGTGTGGCGTGTGATATCCAGAAGCTCCGTTTGATGTATCCATCATAGTAACACCGCCACTACCATCTACATATGAAGGCGTGGTTGGTGTGTGCATCCCCATCGGTGTAACATTGGTATTAGCTGTATTGATAGTCGCTGCGCTCAGTGTGAGACCACCGTTGCCGTTATTGAGATCATATGTCTGAGTGGTATCTTTCTTACCAACACCGCTAAACGCACCGATTCCTCCCAATCCACCGAGTGTATGTTGCGACGAGATAGGCGCAAGTGCACTTGGTGCCGGCGGGGTAGCATAAGTGGGCGTAAGTGCCTGGTATAAAGGCAGATGATGACGTCCGTCGTCCAGCGCGCCACTTGAACCATAGCTGCCCATAGCACCGGTATTAGTGGGCATTAGCGGCGCGTAAGAGGCACTGCTTCGGTGATGTCCATGCGTGTTTACTGCGCCCAAATGATGAAATGTATTTGGCGGTGGAGGTGCACCAAGCGGGGCAAACGACGACGCGGCTGTGGCAGATGAAGGTGGTGTAATGCTCGCCTGCAAGCCAGATAGTTGCGTCAATGGTGAACCCACACTTACCATACCTGGCGAACTGACTGAAATGCTTGCTGGTGACATGGCAACCGTCTGGAGTGAGGACATTGACGGCGGTAGCACCGACGAAGCCATGGCCGCAATGCCATCGGACATGAGCGGGTCGTTGTAGCCATGAAATTGACTTTGGAAAGAGGGCAGCTTGGAGAAGGGCTCGAAGCCGCCGGCTCCTCCAAGATGTTCTCTGCCATTACCGGGACCGTTGCCGCCTCCATTGCCGAGACCTGCACTCTTCAATGTACTGCTGTGGCTGTGATGGTCCTTGGTATCCATTTCCCAAGGACGCGTATAATTATTGTTGCTATTGGAGTTGGCGGCGCTGCTATTGCTGCTGCTGCCGCTGTTGGCGTTGCCGTTAGATTGAGAACTTACAGCTGAGTGCTGCTGTTGCTGTTGTTGTTGTTGCTGCTGCTGCTGCTGATCATTATTGCTGTTACTGTTGTGGTTGCTGCTGCTGGTGGTGGCATTGGAGGTTGAGGTGGTGGTGGGCAGATGCTGTTGAGGAGTGGGCCGAGCAGGCGGAGGCTGAGGAGGTG